ATCAGTACTTGCTAAGCAGAAACTCTAGTACCTGAGTCACATTCTCAACTCCTTTTTAACTTTGTTTTCTGATAGGGTCTTGGTCTCAGGTGGTCCTACCTAGGGCTACTGGAGCAGCTGGGATTACAAGTGTGTATCACCATGCCTAGTTCTTCACTATTCTTGCCTAAATTTTTTTTAGAACCATTGTATTGATATTGTTATCTAGGCTTATGTTGTACCTATAAATTATGTTGGAGAGAATTAAATATTACCTGGACTAACATGGAAACATAGTGTTTCTTATTCAAATTTTTCATGTTCTTAGGGCAGAGTATTTAGTACTCAGAGTTTACTTCACTGTTTATTTACATTTTCCAGATTCCCCAGTGTTGTAGTTACATTGGGGCCATGACCCGATTTGACCAATGGGCTGTGAGTATAAAGGCTGCTTACCACTTCTGGCCAGAGGGAATCAAATTATTTGAAATTAAACACCTTTTTAAAGAACCATATAAAATTTGTGTGTGTGTGTGTGTAGTAGTAGTGTGTGTGTGTGTGTGTGTGTGTGTGTGCGCTAGTCTTGGGGTTTGAACTTAGGGCATGAACAATGTCCCTGGGATGATTTGCTCAAGGAATTTGAGGTATACCTCCACTTCTGGTTTTTTGATGGTTAACTGGAGATAAGAGTCTCGGCCTTTCCTGCCAATGCTGGCTTCAAACTTTGATCCTAAGATCTGTCTCCTGAGTAGCTAGGATTATAGCAGTGAGCCACAAGTACCCACCCAAGCCTGAATGTTGTTTTTCATTGTATATAAAATGTTCATAAAAATATCTATTTCTACTCTGGCAAAATGTTAGTAACAACAGTAATAATAGTGACTGAACTATTATGCAATACAAGAACACTACACTTGAATTACAGGGCTATATATATATATACAGTGTATATATATGTATATGAATATGTGTGTGTATATATATATATATATATATATACTGAGTATAACATACTTAACTCATCATTTTTTTCACAAATGTATTAATCCTCTAAAAATAGAAACCAAATGCCCTCATAGGGTCTCTTATGACCTTCAGTAAGTGATGAGTAAGTTGAAGGTTAAATATCTTGCTGATTGATGTTAGGCAAAATGAACCCCAAGATAAGGACTCAAATGGTTTTTCTTTCTTGTTATTGTTTCTAACATATTTTTAAGATGATTTCTTTGTTGCTTTGTATGTCCCTCCCCCAGGGTATAACCCCTGTTTTCACTGTATTTGATGTTGGTATAATTTGTGGAGGGGAAGGGAAAAAACAATTTGTTTAACTAGGGATACAGGTGGACCCATTGCAACAATGTGGGGAGGTGGGAGGACAGGGATGGGAAAGGGAAACAAAGGAGGAGGCTACAATGCTTGATAAGAAATGTACTCATTACCTTGCTCATCTAATTGTAACCCCTCTGTATGGTATTTTCACAATAAAAAAAACTTATTAATTAAAAAAAATCTTGCTCATACAGGTTATAAAGCTAGGAGCTTGGATAAATCCAGGCCAAGTTCTCAGCTCATGCTAGGAAGTGAACACTCTCTCCAGTTTTCATCTACTGTTAAACCAAAAGTTACTTAAGATGTACGTGAGCAGATTTGGTGTAAGCGCTCCACACCTTTTCTGTTTTGTTTGTAGTGATAGCTAAATGTGAAGCAATGCTTCAAGGCAGAACCCCCAACTACACCCATTTCTTTAAGTTTTTTTTTTTTTTTTAATCAACTTGAAAAGTGTCTTGCTTTTCTCAGCAAGCTTTCTGGACTTGAACTATTTCTGTTGCTTCCAGAAGTTTCTGTATGGTCACTTGTCCCCCACACCCTGGCTGTTCTGCTTCCTGATTCCAGAAGTTCTTATATACTATAGCCCAGTGGATACTACTCTGTTTTGAATGTAGATATGTTTTCATAAATGATTTGGGAAGGGAAAGGAGTGAAATGTGTAAGTACAAATGATTGTTTTAAACATTGGGTCCTTTTTACTCATGATATTTGGAAAACACTAAGTAGAATCCCAGATGTTAGTGAGAAAAAAGTTATCTTCTTCTTTTGACGCGACTTCATCCTCTGTAAGTGGAAGGGAGTAGTACTGAGGAGATTTATTTCCCCCATGGAAACTTTCCTTAGAAAATGGAAATCATTACAGTCAGTTTCAAATAATATTTTTTTCTCCAGTTGTGTAAATCACAAAGTGCTAGTCAGAGCTCATTTTCAGTCCTGCCCTTTGTGTCTCCCTTTCATTCCTGGATTTCAAACACCCATTCATGGATGAGATCTTATCTATGGAAAATTTCGGTTTTCATTGCCCTGGAGCTAACTGATATTAAATAAGGCTAATTTTTCATAAAGTTAAATTATCCAATTTAAACAGCTATCAGATTATATCCTCTTAATAATTTTTTGACGTGAAAATGTTCTTTTTATAAATGATTACATTAGATGGAAGCTTGCTTTGCTTTAAACACACTTACAATGTTAAAAGTTGGCAATCCTGTGTTGGTTTCAAAATTAGTTCTGAACTTTTTTCTTTATATATAATCCCAAACCCTACGAACCACCGGAATGTGTCTCCAAATAGTTTTTTCAATTAGTGGAATCGTTTCTGAGCCCTTGTGTTTGAGACTGCCTGCCTGTCCTGCTGAAAGACAAATTGTTAGTTATAATGATCTTAGCTTATAACTCTTCCCTCAGAACCCTGGGGAGTCATTTGGCACCTAACTGTGGCCGAGGGAAATGTCTGAGACCAACCCAAAGTTTTGTTCTCTTATTTCTGCTGAAGTGTTTTTTTTTCCCCCTCCAATTATACTTTTCCCTTTCTGAAGACATTGTATACATCTCTTCCACCAAGAGTGTGTGATGGCTGATGGCCAAAGACTAGATTCTAGCATTTCTCAAGTTCAAATCTAGTTTCTACTCTACGTACTACATCCCTGGATAGATTTGTGCTGACTTGCATATACTAGTACCTGTGAATGTGATCTCCAAGAGGAGAGGAACTCTACAAATGTAATTAAATTAAGGCAAGGCTGTTAAGAGAATCTAAACCAATACGACTGGTACCTTTCAAAAAGAGCTTCAATTTAGACATACACAACACAATGCAGAGATTGAAGTTTTGCTACCTCATGCCAAGGAATGCCTAGAGACTTAAGAGAATGGAGGACAGATACTCTCTTAGTGGCACTGGAGGGAGCACAAGAATCACAGGCAGTTCTAGCCTCCATAATGGCAACTATACACATCTGTTTCAAGTCACTCAGGTGTGGTACTTCATCACAGAAACCCTAGGAAATCAAGACAGGCAAATTTCTTTAATGTAATTAACAATCAGTTTAAATTTATGACTGTTGAGATTAGATATGATAGAACAATTTTTTAATTTTGAATGAGAACATAATTTTTAAAAACTTTATTAAGATGTTGTACAGAGGGGTTACGTGAGTAAGGCAATGAGTGCATTGCTTGTCGATCATTGTTACCCCTTCCCTTCCTTGTTGTTGTCCCACTATCCCTTCCCTCCCCACCTCCATCCCCTCTCCCCCTCCCTTCACCGCCCCAGAACAATTATTTTTAAAATATGGGTTTTATCTTCAACATAACCACAATAGTTATCTCTTCTGTATTTTTCTGTACTTTTGTAATTGTAATATGAGACTTGTTTCACTTAGTGGAGTGCCAGGTCTCTGGAATGGGAACTGTATGGTGTTCATACGCAGACTCACTAAATAGTGAAGTATATTGTAATTTAGATGGTGGGCCTGGTCTTAGTATCCTGGTCTATAAATACGGAAACTGAGGTTAAAGGAAATTGAACCCAAGTCAAGAAATGTAAATCCGCCTTTTTTTTTTTTTTTTTTTAAGTGAACTTCAATGACTTCACTGGTTTGATGAAATGAAATGGGAAATTTTAGACTACTATCAAAAAATTCCAGATGAGGACCCCGTAATACATAAAATATGGGAGATGGTCCAGCAGGATGATTAAGAACACATGCTTTGGCTAGACTCATGTAGATCACAGATATAATCCTAGATACGCAGGAGGTAGAGAGATTAGAAGATTATGGTTGAAGGCCAGCCTGGGCAGAGTTTGCAAGACCCTAACTGAACCAACAGCTGGATATAGGTCATCCACCTATCATACCAGCTATAAAGGAAGGGAGGATTGAGGTTTCAACCAGTCTGAGCAGAGAAAAATCTACAAGACTCCAATTCAACAGAAAATACTCACACCTGTCATTCCAACTACAGTGGGTAGTGTAAAATAAGAGAATCATAGTCTAGGCCAGTCGGGGCAAAAAGCAACACCATATCTCAAAAATAACCAGAGTTAAAAGAGCGGTGGATTATATGCCTAGCAATCATGAAGCCCTGAGTTCAATCCCAGTATTGCCCAAACTAAAAAAACAAATCTGCATTTTCACTTAAATACTTTAATACAAAAATACTATGCATCAGAGTCCATGTGACAAGTACATGAGATACAGCAGTTAGGAGTACTAAAGTGCTATACACTGTATTCTTCCAAGCATGCAATGACCTCATTATCTTCTGATGTTGTGTTAAAGGCAACACGCAGAGACAAAATGGCACATTGATGAGAATTAGTGACTTCAGAAAAGACACGAGTATATCCAAACTTTCCTAGCAGTTTAATGACCACTGTCCTAAAAATAGTTTACGTGGAATTCTGATTATTAATTTGCCTTTAGCAAGCCTCTTTGTACAGTGGAGTTCTTTTTTATTGTTCAAACATGTTACCACAATACACAAGAATTATTTTCTGAGTTCCTCAGAGTTAACAGAAACTGATTCTTAGTTCTTTTGGACTTGTTTGCTGTGCTTGGAACATCTCACCATATTCCTTAGGAGACTCCAAGATGCTGACGAGGAGACAAGGAAAGGACTGTTTTCCTAAGCCTGGAAACCAGACACTGACATCATCAAGAAGTAAACACGAGAAACAACACAGGAAATGAAACTATACAAATGGCTTTTATTTTGCATTATTTAAAGTATTGTAGATTTTGTTGTTGTTGTATTAGAAATAGCCACTGACCAGGAGTAGTGGTGGCACTTGGAAGCCTGCAACCTGGGCTGCAGAGATATCTCATCTCAAGAACAACAATGAACAACAGAGCTCCAGGTACTACGTTTCAATTTGCTCCATTTCTCTGCAGCATGGTATCCTTTTGGGATAGTTGAAATGATTCTAGTTGTTCGTCCACATCATCTATCCTCTGCAGGCCTTGTGCTATCACCGATTGTTTCAACCAGGATGCAAGGAGCAGGAAATTATATGGTATGGCAATATGTCTGAAATGTACAGTCCTGATGCAGTGCAGTGACTAACCGATTTTAAGAAACTGGCTGCTTTTTCCCATTCTGATCTCTTCTTCATGCATGAAAAGCATTGCTTGTCCACTGAGAGCTGCATGGCTGCTTCAACTCCAGGAATTACATTCTCAGCTCTGCTTCCTGAGAATAAAAGAGAAGGAAAGGAGTCTCATTTTTTAAACAATAAAACTATTCCCCAAACCTTGTGCAGATTTCTCCTTTACCTCTAGAGACAAAACTGGATAATATATCCACCCCCACTACAAGAAACTCAAGGAAAGTGAGTGTAGTGAAAGTATGAGATTGTACAGACCAACTTCAATCATGATTCCTCTCTTGGGACTAGGAGTTTTTGTCTCTTGGGTATATTCTTGGGACAGGAATTGCTCAGACATTATGGTAGCTTATGCTTAACTTACTGAAGAGAAACAGCTACCCTGTTTTCCAAAATGACCAAGCCATTTCATATTTCCACCAGCAGTATATATTAGGGATCCAATTCATTCACATCTTCACCCACGTTTGCTATTACAGTGTGTGTATAGTGGTATCACCTTGATTTTTTTGTTGTTGTTGTTGGTTGTGGGGCTTTAACTCAGGGCCTGGGCACTGTCCCTGAGTCTCTCTGTGCTCAAGGCTAGTCCTCTACCAATTGAGCTACCGCACCACCTCCGTTTTTTGAGTGGTTGACTGGAGACTAGAGTTTCATAGGGACTTTTCTGCCCAGGCTGACTTCGACCCTCAGGTCCCAGCCGGCTGAGTAGGTAGGCACTGGCACCCAGCTCATCTTGAAATTTTTACAGCATGAATTTTAAGAGACAAATACAATAAGGTGGGAGAAAATGCTGAATCTGTATGTCTAGAGTCAAAGTTCTATTGCTTGAAATAGTAAGTCACTCAACAAACTTCTTTAGTCTTTGATATACATGACATATATATATATATAGAGAGAGAGAGAGAAAAAGAGAGAGAGAGAGAGAGAGAGAGAGATGCTTGAGGCCTGAAAGTCCTACTATTCTACAATAACCAAAAAGAAGATTTGCCTATGGTATTTTATAAGGGAAGCTGGCCAGGAAAGGTAAGACTAATTAAGCCAGATACTTGCAAAGTAGAAGCAAAACTTGTACACGTGGCCAGACTCCAAATCCCAGAACGTGCATTTTTGTTTTGTACGCCTAACTTTACGCTGGTTATTTTGGAGCATTTCACAAAACGGGTTGTTTTGCGACTATCCCAGACCTTTCCCCTATGTCTGTGCGACAGCAGGCTGAATGAAGTGTGTGGTAAGCAGGCTCGGCAGTGGCAGTGATGCGAAATGCGTTAGGGTACTTCTTTCTTTTCACATGAAGGTGCTGTGGGCCAACAGTGACGGAATGTGTGCCTGGCCTAGGCTGCGCACTACCATTCTCTTCTCCGCTCTCAGCCTTGCTTGTTGATGGGGGGGAAAAAAAATCCAGCCACTGAGAAACAAGCTGCCAACCCTGAAGCCTTGAACGCAACTAACACGGAAGTGTCCCTTGGAGCCTGCAGTATTGACACCCCAGACTCTTGATCTAGGGGAACCCTAGCAGAGACGGATGATGGAAGGCGTAGGAGCCATGCAGCACCAGCTTGAGCAACCCTGAGGGTCATGAATAACCTGCTGCTCTGCTCTTCTGTGGCAGGGGCTCACTCGTTTTGCAGACCTGACCCTTCACCCTCCCCACGAACGTGGCCACTGCTCATGCGCGCGGGCCCGAGGACTTACGTGACTGCCACCGGGACACGCTCCCTGGCTTGGGCCTCCGGGGGGGTGCACGAGTTCAAGTTCACCCGGGCTCCCACGTGACAACGAGCCCCGCACCCACGCGGAAGGCCGGCCGGCGGAGGCCTGGCCGTGGGAACCAGCCGCCGGGGCCGCGACCCTGCGATTCAACAACCGATCGCACCGCCAGCCACCGCGCGCTTCCCTCCCGCCGGAAGTGCCGGGCCGGAAGTCCCGCCTCCACCAGGGCGGGGCGGGAGCGCAAGATGGCGGCGCCCTGTAGCGGGTGAAGGGAGCGGACTCGGGTTTTCCCTCCCTGGGGAGCGGCCGGACGGGTGCACCATGGCGGCATCCCCTCGCTCTCTGTCCTCACGCCTCCTCCTGACAGGTACTGTACCCGCCTCGGGTGAGACTTCGGGAACATTCTCCGCTTTTTGCCACGTGGGAGGCCCTAGTTCCGGCTGGCTGCAACCTTGGGAGCCCTTGGTGAGGTCGGCTAGTGACCCGTGCTGGAAAGTGACCTTTGGGGTCCGCTGGACCCGAGGGACCCCGGAGCGGGGAAGGTGGGGGCCACACTGTCACCCCGCTTCCCTGAGGGTTTGGGTGTAGCTGGTGCTTTTCCCAGACTTGAGGTTCTTGAAGCTGGAGCAGAGGGCAGAGTATATGGGAGCTGAGGAAGAGAGCAGAATTAGGCCTTCCTTAGCCCTCCATAAGCTTCCTGGTTCGTGAGAACCCCAGGTACCGACCACTGGCCTGTGGTCGCAGCCTTCTTTCTGTGCAGACTCGAGTCCCCTTCTGACTTTTGACTTTGTACCAGCATCATGATCCGTCATATAAAATCCTCCTAGAAGCACCGTTGACAAACATATGTCCCAGCTTGAATGCTGCTTCCTGTCCCTTACTTAGCAAGGTCTCCTTTCAAATGTCACCTATTCAGAGAGGCCTACCTTGAGCACTCTATCCAGAATGGATCCCCTAATCCCTCTCTTTTTACATCATCCTCTTTGTTTTCTCTAATCTTGGTTAGCACTAACATTAGTGTGTGTTTGTTCCAACTAGAATATATGCTTTGTGAGGGTAGGGACAGTGGTTTGTCTTTCTGGTTCACCTTTATATCCAGTGTCTAATACCTGGTGTACATGATAAGCTCCAAATAATGATTTGTGAGTAAATGAAATTTGTCCTCATAGTTAATTGCTTCCAGTATTTTGGGATGCTTACTAATGGCTAGATAGGGAATGTGTTAGTGTGATCCATATTAGAGACCAGACAGTAGAAACCAGAAACTGCCTTTTTATTACATCCAGTACATTTTCAGGTCTCACCTAAGCATACAAACTTTCTGCAGGTGTCTGGCATAAAGAAATTTCTTTCTCCTTGTCTCCCTCTGTCCCTCCCTTCTCTTTTCCTCCCTCCATTCCTTTTCTTATTTATTTTTTTTATTAGTATACATTAGGTACCGGGAGGGGATTTCATTGTGACATTCCCATGCATTATATATATATATGTGTGTGTGTATATATATATATATATATATATATACACACACACACACACACACACACACACACACACACAGTCAATCTCACCCTGTTACTCTACCTCTTCCCCTTCCTAAAACAGTTTCAGCAGGCGTCATTGTTCTCGTTTCATAGATACAAGCAATCTACTTTAAATATCATTTTCTTTTTTGTACTAATGTTATTTTACAGGACCTATTCTGGTTCTGTGATCTTAGGACTTTTCTTGATTTCACTATCTATAAAAGGAGGTAATTAAAGTAGATGGTCTCAAATCTCCCTCTCATTTCATAAAATAGGGCAGAGTGCAGAAGAGAGTATAGATGAAACAGTGTTGTTTGGTAATCTTTGAAGCTGGGGGGATAAGTAACAGGAGGGGGCCCATTGTACACTTTTGTTTTTACACATAACTGCAATTTTCCTTAATGAAAAGGTTTTCTAAAGGACTATTGAGGGGTTTCTTTTTCAAGTCACTTTTTTGTTACCTTTTTACCTTTCCTGACTATGAATATTCTTTGGTTCTGCCCCTAGACACTTATGTCCAAGAGCTTATCCCTTCCTTGTGCTTGATTTATCTCCTCTGTATGGAGGCCAAGTCTCCAATGTGTATCCCTCAGACCTACTGTTTTTCTGCTTTTCCACTTTGTTTTCAACTCTGTATAACACAGTCCCACTTAACTGCTCTGAATTTTCTTGTACTAGTTGATTGACTGCCTGTGACCAGTATATTACTGGATCAGTCTTTGCCATTGTGGAATAGTTAGCTTACTTTCTGGAACTGAACATAATCACCAAGAAGTCTACTAATAAGTGGTCTATGTGACTGACTGTGATTCACTTGTAAGATCCACTAAGAGTGTTCGATGGGAAGAGGGCAGAGAAGGTCAATGCTAAATATCTATTGTATGTCTGATTTTGCCTATACAAGCTCAAAGTATTTTTATTTCCACTAAATAAATTACAGACTTTTCAATCAATTCGTCTTACCTGATTGGAAAATCTTTACGTACGTGCTCCATTGATAATAGTGAATAGTGTTTACTGCCTTGCTTTCAATTTTTAGCGTCTCTGTTGCAAATCCTGCATATCTTAAAACAGTGTGGAGCCTGGTGCCCATGGCTCATGCTTGTAATCGTAGCTACTCGGGGCTGAGGTATGAGGATTTTGGTTCGAGGTCAACATGGGCAAGAAAGTCCATGAGACTCTTAACTCCAGTTAACCAGCAGCAAGCTGGAAGTAGAGCTGTGGCTAAGTGATAGAACACTAGCTTTGAGCACAAAAGCTCAGGGACAGTGCCCAGGCTCTGAGTTCAAGCCCCAAGTCTGGCATGAAAAGAAAGAAAGGAAAGAAGGATGTTACGTTTGTTTACCCAGAACTGAAAATCTTTCACTTAATAAGAAGTAATTCATGGAAATGTGGTATTTTAACTAAAGGACATGTTTTCATCTGTCACAAGTGTAGTTTCCAAGCTTTTTGTTTGTTACTTTTTAATTATCACTATAAAATCTCACTTTGATTAGAGCTACAATAAAGTTAAAAAACTGCCACTCTGGGTAGGAGATGATGATGGTATGGATGAGGGTGGAACTTAAAAAAGATAAGGACAAACATTTGAGCTGTGTTCCAGGTGGAGTTAACAGGACTGTAGGTGGTTATTTGAGTGGAAGTGAGAAGGAAAGGGAGAGGAATTCAAGCTCATATTTTTAAAATTGTTTTGCTTCAACAAATGGGCAAATGGCAGCATGGTTTAAGAGTTGGTAGGCAAGGGTATATAGAGGAGAACAAGAGTTCTATTTGAGGGCCGAGGTAATGTTAAGTGGCAAAGTACATCCTAAGTACATGCAGGGCCCTGGGATTGATCCCTAGCACCATAAACAAATGACTGAATGAAAAGAAAGACTTCTGAAATATGTTATGTTACCAGGACTCTTATGTGTTCAATAGAGTTATCAAGTAAATAGCTAAACATGTTATTTATTTCTTTGAGGAGCTAGAGAAGAGAATTCTGTAGAACACAACTTAAAATGTCTTTAAATGTGAAATAGTAGAAATTTTATGGAAACACACTGCAAGACTTCCTTTGCATTAATGAAAGTTTGAAATTTCTCCTAAATCTTAATTTCTACTGATCATGTCATCCTTTGACTTCTGTTAAATACTTGTGCTGTTTAACCTAGCATTCTTTTCTATAATGTTTGTTAATGTCTTTAAAAAAACAAGATAATGGCATGTATGTTCAAATATACTAAATATTATTATTACTGAGCTTTTATAAGATTTTGGGGGGGGGAGGTGGTCCGGTCATGGGGCCTGAACTCTGGGCCTGGGTGCTGTCCCTCAGCTCTTCAGCTCAAGGCTAGTGCTCTACCACTTGAGCCACAGCGCCACTTGCGGCTTTTTTCTTTTTTGCTTATGTGGTGCTGAAGAATCGAACCCAGGGCCTCAGGCATGCAAGGCAAGCGCTCTACCACTGAGCCACCTTCCCAGCCCTTTATAAGATTTTTTGTAAGATTTTGTAATGTGTTCTATTCAGTTTTCTATTTGAATAAAAATTTTAAGATACAAAAAAAAATCTGAAAGATTTTCCAGGGTGTTTCCAAGACAAACATATCTTCATGTATTTGGAAAATAAACATGTCACCATTAACTGTAATTTGTAGCTATGATTTCAGTGAAGAAGTGACTTACTTGTAGTCTGAGATAATTTCCATAGATTTCAGGGTGCAATTGTAGTTCTTTTCAGCTCAGGAAAGACTGTGTGGTTATCTAGTAATACAACATCATTTCATTTTATTACATGGGAAGCATTCTGCTAGCTGCTGGAGCAGAAATAAGTAAAGGACATGGCCAAGAATGTCACCAGGAAATTTAAACCTAATGATAGTAGAAACTGGAAACAGTTTGCGTTAAAATAGTACAAAGGACATAGGAGAAAGGGTAAAATAGTTGAAAGATACTTTGGATTTATGGCAGGCAGAAACAGATTGCAACCAAGGAAACAACATAAAGAACACTAACTTGTTCAATGTGATGTGTTCAGTGGAAGGTCATGAAACATCATTACTCTGTAGAATTGTTGGTTTGGGTGTGTGCAGGTAATGTATTCTGACTTCAGGAAGAAAAGTAAGGGTTGACTCTGTGGAATGTAGATTGAGAAAGGAAATTACTGAAGGCAAGTTGTCTGGCTTGACTGCTATTTACTGTTAACTGCAGTCCATGTAACCACTGGGGACCATAGGGGCTTGTATCAGTGGGAATGAAGAAAAGTAGGTAGATTTGACCTATATTTCAGAATGACTTGACTTGTTAATTGTTAGTGATAAAGAAGGAATTTCTAGGGGCTGGGAAGGTAGCTCAGTGGTAGAATCCTTGACTTGCAAGCATGAGGCCCTGGGTTTGATTCCTCAGCACCACAGAAGCAAAAAAGGATGGAAGTGGCACTGTGGCTCAAGTGGTAGAGCGCTAACCTTGAGCTGAATAGCTGAGGGACAGCGCCCAGGCCCAGGCCCCACAACCAACCAAAATAAAACCAATTTTTTTTTTTTTAAAGGGAAGAATTTCTTGTGATCCCCACATCTACAATAAGGAGGAGAGATAAGAGGAAGAATTAAGAATTAGACATACTGTTTTCCATTCACATGAGATACCAAGTGCACTTGAACATAGGCCTAATTCCTCTGGAGAAATGAGTTGATGAGTTGACCATTAGCAAATCCCCATTTGCTCAAGGATAATACTTAGTGTTTGGAAGAGTGGGAAGACAACTACCTAGAAGCAACGGACATAGAGAGATGAGGTTCTGCCAAAAACTGGGAAGCACAGCAGAGAATCAGGAACCTTTAGTGTGTTGGGAACCATGGAGAAGGGACTTTGCACACATTGTGAAATACGTGAATAGGGTGAGGCCGGAGGTAGACGCTTTGACTTTATTGATGGAAGGTTTAGTCAAGTGAGTAAAGGCTATAGTTTGAAACAACAAAAGTAGTTTATTACTCACTAGATTGACAGGGTCTTGCTTCACTGAGAATTCTTTCCTTCTTCCCCTTAATTGCCTTATGCTACATTAGTAAAATATCAATGTGAAACATAGCTGCACTTTAGTTTACTGGAATTCTTTGAGTAAAGTTGTGCTTTTTATTTTTTATTTCTTAAAAAAGTGACAACTGGCTGTTTTACTTTTTTTTTTTTTGTATAAAGATGTACAATGTGGTCATTTCAGCTCATAAGATAACAAAGGAAAATGCTGTGCAAGTGGCAATCTCCTTGAATCCTCCAGAAGAATGGTGCTGCCTTACACAATAAGTAAGAATGATAGGTTGTTCACAAATGTGATTCATGTAATTTCAGTGCTCTCCCTGTCACATAGAGCAGCTTTGGGTAGGTAGAGATAATCATTTGATGATATTAGAATAATCATATTTAAAAATGGTAGCCATACAATGCTCGTGCATTTGCTGAGAAGTTAAAAAAATTATGAATGAGATGCTGAGAAAATAAAACCTTATATCCCTAAACCTGCAAAGTGGCTATTGCTTTAACATGGTAAAATTATAAGAGGATTTCAATTTAGGAGCTGCATTCATTGTTTTAACACCTTTTCCTCCCCCCTGTCCCAGGTCGGGCAGGAGGATGTATGTGGTATCTGGAGAGAAGAGCTGTACAGGCACCCCCACGCAAGTTCATGCGACTGTTCAGAAATGCTAGTAAGGAATGGATTACATTTCAACACTTTCGCTTCCTGAAGCGCCTGGTATGTTGACAAGACCATCTTTATTCTCATGCTTTCTGCCTTTGTTTTTCTCTGTATGAGAGAGTTTCAGAAATTCCTATTGGAAGAGAAGTTTTGAGAAGGATTGTTTGAACAAGACTTTTATTTAGTGTCCTCTCAAGTTTATCCAACACTTTAATCTCTTGTTTTCATTAATCCTAACTGAAACCAGAGTAATTCTGGCATTTGAGGTTAAAAATAGGATCTTGAACTTATTGATTAAGTTTGGAGAAAGATTGAAAACTGCTGGCACATTTTGACTACGCTAAAATTAGGAAAAGCTGAACTTTTATGACACATCTTTTTAAATTCTTTGAAGTTCTTAGAAATATATCCGAATTACGGAAATAATTGCTTTAACCGCCTGACCCTTTGTTTTCTTAAATCTGTGGTGCATTTAAAACTCTTTAATATATGTATGCACTTCTGAGTAGACTCAAATACATTTTTGTAATTTGCTAGGCATTTATTTTATTTTCTTTTTAAATAATGAACTTTGATCAAGTTCACTACTTCGATTACTCTTTCTTCTCCCAATAGCTCAACCTTCTTTAGTACTGTATCTGTGTTGGCTCTATGATATTATAAGCAACACCATAACTTTCTCCTGATTACCAGCGAGGACATTTGCCATTCATAAGTAGACAAGGGTCAAAGTATGGTAAGATAACTGAAAATTCATCATTTTTAGTGTCAGCGTGAAAGAACAGCAAACTCATGATCCAGTGTCCTATTTGACATTTCTTGCTCACCTTTTTTTAGCTTAAAATCTTAAAAATTCTGTATGTTACTCAAATAATAAAAAAAAAAAATGGGATGCTGAGTGCCAGGGGCTTACGCCTGTAATTCTAGTTACTCAGGAGGCTGAGATCTGAGGATCGAGGTTCAAAGCCAGCCCAGGCAAGAGAGGCCATGGAACTTTTATCTCCAATAAACCACTCAGAAAACTGGAAGTGGCACTGTGGCTTAAGTGGTAGAGCACTTGCCTTGAGCTGAAGAGCTGAGGGACAGAGTCCAGACCCAGAATTCAAGCCCCCCAACCGACAAAAAAAAAAAAAAAGGGTATATAGGAAAAAAGTCAAATCTGTATAGAGTGTGTGTGTGTGTGTGTGTGTGTGTGTGTGTGTGTGCGCGCTTAATGTAAGCAGGTTTTGGAAATCATGTCAGTAATGAAAAAGGCATTTACATAGTTTTCAGCCAAGGTAACTTCCCCTCCCCAGGGCATCTATAATTGAGTTATCCATTCCTTGTTGAATTAGAGACTTGGTTTTCTTATCTAAAAATTAATTAATTAATTTAATTAAAGAATAATTAAAGCTTGTTTTCTTTCACAACTGTTACAATTAAAGAAGATATACGTTATCTAAATCATATGCTCATAGTATTCATAGTAGTTATTAATTTTTTCTAGTAAATGGTAGAAACTGTCTGACTCAAAACCCATGTTCTTTCTTGTGCCCCTGTGCTTTGACATGACTTAGTCCTGGATTGTGTGCTACCACTGAGTCCGCTCAGCACTCAGTAACTCAGATGACTTTAGCCCTTGATTAGAGAAACCTTTTTGTTTATATTTGTAGTATTGAACCTCCAGGGGAATTAATGTGGAGGAGATAATTTAAATATAGATTTGTCAACTGAGTACCAGTGGCTCACACCTGTTATTCTAATTATTCAAGAGGCTGAGGATCATGGTTCAAAGCCATCCGGGGCAGGAAAGTCTGTGAGACTCTTATCTCCAATGAACCAACAAAAAGTTGAAAGTGGAGCTGTGGTTCCAATGTAAAAGTTCAGGGACAGGGCCCAGGCCTGTTTCAATCCCCAGAAACAGTATGCGTGTGTGCATATGCATGCGCGTGCACACACACACACACAGAGTTATCTTCTTTTTAAAGAACATTAAAATATTACATTCCTAAGATTTTTTTAAACTAACTGGATTTTAACTTAATTTAAAACATTGTCAAGGCATTAATATCCATGTCTTTTGATACAGTGATTTCTGTATCATAAACACTGTACCTGCTACACTGTAGGAAAATCTTTTCTGGTGCTCTTTAAGTACCATAAAAATGAGACTGATGGCAGATGTTAATGAACAATTGAAGAACATTGTGTGCCTTAGTCACGTTGATTTTGTTTGTTTGTTTAGTATGTCACACAGCTGCACTCAAGCCTCAACCAGCAAGTAAAACCAAAGCCAGAAGCAGTGGTTTCTCCTTTCCTTGAAAATACATCCTCGGTTGAAGCCAAAGCAGAAATGGAGGCAATGAGAGCTCATTCACCTCCTGGGCTGACTTTGCCCCTCAAGCCAAGGGGAGAGGAATTGGTAGAAGTAGCATGTGCCTCAGTGGTGGAGAGCCCCATAGACGTGGGTGAAACCACAAAAGAAGAGAAGCAGTGGACAGAGATGAAGCTGCGTATGGATGATCTGCCTGGAGCGTTGGCGCGGCTCTCCAAAATCAAGCTCACAGGTACTTTTCTTTTATTCTGATACTTTACTTTTAGTTACATCCAAAACTAATTTTATTTACTGGCCTCCAGAGAATAATTTGAAATGGTAGACTTTCAGTACTTTTGTTCTCCTTGCTTTAATTATGATTCCAGTTTTCTGAATACTATTTACACAGAATTGTAAGTAGTATCACACTGTAAGTGTTGTACTAAAATTAATCTCACTTTCATTTGCAATTAAAATTGGTTGTTTATCTTGCATATTTTCTTGTTTTTTATACCTGCTGTACTGTTACTTGTTTACCTTGTTTTGTTTTGTTTTGTGCTGGTCCTGGGGCTTGAACTCAAGATCTGGGTGCTATCCCTGAGCTTTTTCTGCTCAAGGCTAATACTCACCCACTTGAGCCACAGCTCCACTTCTGGATTTTGGTGGTTAATTGGAGGTAAGAATCTCATGGGCTTTTCTGCCCCAGCTGGTTTCAAACTATGATCCTCAGATCTCAGCCTCTTGAGTAAATAGGTTTACAGGCATGAGCCACGCTCAGCTGGCTGTCTGCTGTACTATCAAAATGCAGTACTTGTAATCTAGAGCAAGTAGAATTCAACTACTGAGCTTGGTGTGACAATGCTGGCCACTGAGACTTGAGGCTCATTTCTTGTTTTATCCCCTTGTCACTGAAAAGAGATTTGAAACTAAGGGTTTTTTTTTTTTTTAATTCTTTTTGATAATTCCAGCATGCCATATCAAATTTTATTGCAGACAGCTGGGTAGTAGGCCATAATTATGTCATTTGTATGTGATCACCACTTTGAGTCAAGCAAAGCATTATCATGATGTCATCTCATGGCTAGACTTTGACATAGCTTGGTCTGTGCATTTGCAAAGTATATCTAGGTCATTCTGTAAAAGGCTTGCTTTTCTTCTTGGATGACAGTAAAGAGGCAGAATGAAATGAATGAATGATCAAATTGAACTAGGTACTTTTTGATAAGGGAAAGTGGTAAATAATATTACTGGGTCGAATGAAGAAATGAGTCTAGGAGGCTTTTGAGAAAAGAAGGAATAGTTTTGTTCATTTGTCTTTTAAGTGGGTTGAGCCCAGAGATCCATCATAAAAGGAGGTAAACCAGACAATTCTAAATTCACTTAAAATCTCTGTGTGTGTGTGTGTGTGTGTGTGTGTGTGTGTGTGTGTGTGTGTGTGTGCACTGGCAGCAGGGGTGAAGCAATGAAGTTTGCTGAAGATGGTGATGGCTCTTAGTAAGGCCTGCATAGTGTAATGAAATAATGGTCCTGATTCTATGTTATATCCTTAGAAACATCTTCATACTAGATGGTGGGGAAGTACAAACACATCCCATTTTTTAAAAGTTACTCTTTCTGTCATTTGCATAAGTGGTCTGAGTACCAGGATGTTTCCATGTTAAGAATGGACATATATAAGATATTGTCCAAGAAATGAGCCCTATCATTCTGTAGGCATAGAAATAGACCTTGCCATCAGAAAGATCTTTGGGTGTGCCATCATTTAACACATCTAGTCTGCAGATTAGCTGTCCTTTTACCTAGCCTGTCAGTAGTGCCAGCATTCTTTACTCCCATCTGGTGAGAAACCTCTTTGCCCTCATTCTCCCTTTTATTGCTAATCAAACATCAGAGTTAACCTTGAGAATCTTTGTAATGCTGTAAGATTGGCCTTCTTATCTCCATGTCTGTAACTGCTATCCTGGTTTTGACCCAAAATAAGCAGGGGCCACTGTTTTTTGCAACATCTCTTACTGTTCCTCCTGTCTTCCCATGGTTCCCCCCCCCCCCCCCCACCATAGTTCATACTGCTCAGAGCTGCCAGATTGACTTCCACAAAATATAGTTTCTGGTTGTTTTTCCTGTCCTGCACAAGAGTACTGTTTCTACATATTGTTTCCTGCTTCTGTTCTAGCTGGTTCTAAAAGAATACTGGAATCTTAACTGATCAAATTCTTCCCTGGAATCATGCCTTCCTTCTTTTCCCTGGCCTGCCACCTCAGTGGAGGCCAGTTCTTCTGCCCACCGTACTTGTTTCCCTGCCTTCATGGGAGACTTAACTGCCCATTTCACAGTCACGCTGGTCCTCATAGGATCGCTCAACTACACCTGCTTTTGGGCTTCAATCTTGAGTTCAGGTCCTGGCTGTGACACCCATTAGCCTCTGAGACTTTAGGCAGTTCCTTAATCTTGTTGAGATAATTTCCACCTCTGTAAAGTAAGAAAACTAATAAATCATTTAAGACTTAAATTACATAATGTGTCAAAAGCACCCCACAGCATAGCTGACTTGGGAGACACTAAAAACTTTCCAAATAATCTGCAGATAAATACATAATAGTCTGTTCTGCATATATATATATATAGATAGATAGATAGATAGATACATATATATATATATAATTTTTTCTTCCTGTGTGGGTTGTAGAGGTGAATGAGTATTCACCAGGCAGGCAGGGAAGATGAGGATGAGGAGGGGAGCAGTGAGCATGGGAAGAAGCCTTTGCAGAGGCAGAGAAGCGTGATTGGTCCTGACATGTGCACAGAGCTGAGACTGAGATTAGCACAGTTTGACTTGAGCACGTAGGAAAGGTCCTTGAAGAGTTGGCAGGGATTGCGAATATCATGATGAAGAGTTGGGCTGTTATAACTCAGTAAGGGAAAGTACTGGAATATCCCTTAAAGCATATGATCGCTATGTTTTGTCAAATGCCTTAATTATTGTTAAATTTGTATGGGCTTATTATAAAAAAATTCAAATACTAAGAAGCATATATCTTAAACTGGGAAAAATACTAAAAAATTTGCTGATGGATATTAATTGTATAAAGTAATGGGTTTCTTTTTTTTGGCAGTACTAAGATTTGAACTCTGGACCTTGCCCTTGTTAGGCAGGCTGTCTACCACTTGAACCATGCCCCAGACCCCCCCCCCCCTTATTTTTCCATTATGTTTCTGACCATGGACTATAAGCCTCCTATATCTGTGCCTTCCTCTCATCTAGGATCACAGGTGTGTGCTACCATGCTGGCTTACTTTTTAAGATGTAGTCTCACTGTCTTTTTTTGCCTGGACTAACCTTGAACCTTTCCAGTCTCCATCCCCTCAGTAACTGGGATTGTAGGTACTACCATGCCAGGCTAAATAATGGGTTTCGTTATTAATTTTCATGCATTTCACTCTGTTATCCCCATCCTTCTTTCCTGCTGGTTCAAGTTCTTTCCAAAGAGTTCTTCTACTTCCATGACTTTTGCTTTTCAGATCTGGATTTCACATATGAGAGAAAGCATGACATTTCTCCTTTTGACTATGGCTTATTAACATGATGATCTCTTGTTCTGTCCATAGGACATCTTGTTGTGGCATAGGACATCATTTCATTCTTTTAGGGCCAAATAGTATTCTATCGTTCATGTAGCCTATATTTTCATCATTCATTCACTGATGGGTGACTACGCTGGCTCCACAGCATGCATGGCTGTTGTGAATAGGGCCACAATAAACTGACGTAGACTGACTTAGACTACTTTGGATATATGCCCAATATGCCAGGTCATAGGGCAGTTATATTTAGTTACTATTTCAATAAAAATACCCTTTCTGTAAAACTTCTGCTTAAAATGTAGGCTTTTTTTATGTATACATATGCAGATATAGATATTACTTTCTTTAACAGAAATAGGATCATGGTAGTGTATTCTGTGTGTGTGTGTGTGTATACGTGTGCACACGTGCATACATCTATATATGTTCCTACAACTTGTCATTTTCCTATTACCTTGTAGTTTTCACTGACAATATTAAGTCACTGGATACAGGTAAATATTTATCTGTCTTGGAAAGCAGTCATGTGATAATTTTTATGCAGGTAAGTCTTTGTATGCTTACATGAATTTGTAGAATGAAGGTTTAGAATTGAAAATGTTGTAATTTTTGATAAGTCAGCCAGTTTGTTCCTAAAGAGTAATCCAGCATAATTGATACCCCATTTAATAGTAACAATGAAAACTGTTTACAAAATGGGTGTTCACTAGGTTCCTGCTTGTGCATTCCACTGATTTTGCCAATTTGATTGCTGAAAATGATTTTGTGTCAGTTCTCATTGTTTATCTTTTGGTAGGATTTAGCATCTTTTTTATTGTAGAAGTACTGTACAGAGGGGTTACAGTTACATGACTAAGGTAATGAGTACATTTCCTATGGAGCATTGTTACCCCCTCCTTTGTTTTTCCCTTTCTATCCCTTCCCTCCCCAACTCCTCCCTCCCCATACCCCCAAGATGTAAAGTTCGTTTTCAACATAGTGTATTGTACATCTCAGTGTTACAGTGGGTCAGCCTGTATCCTTATTTCAGCATTTTGTTATTTCCCTCCCTCCCCAAATTAGAAAAATGTATGTACAAGATGCAGGGTTAGCATCTTTTTTAAAAAAGCTTTTGATTTATTGAATTTTTCTTATGTTATTTACCTTATATCCTTAGTTGTTACTTAATGATTTTTAATAATTAATCACAGAATATGTTTAAAACATCCAACAACTTGCCTGACACATGGTAAGTAAAGAAAGCTTAGTTTCAAGTAATTATAGAAAATAAAGAAAATTCTCTTTTCACCCATCATCTTCCTAACATATTTTTTCCATGTTTTCTTTTTCCTTTGTAACATTTTGTTGCTTTGCTTTAGCCTACTAAAATCTAGCTTTCTTTTATTCTTTTCCATGCAAAGAAAAGTTTCACTGTCTAATGGTGATAAAAGACTTCATTCAAATTTTTTCATGAGATTTTAAAATCTGCCTTCAGTCTCTCAGGTTTTGGAATCAGCTGGAATGTGTTTCAATACAAGCAGAGGTACTGCTTAAGAAAACTGCTGTGGCTGGGCACTGGTGGCTCACGCCTGTAATCGTAGCCACTCAGGAGGCTGAGATCTGAGGATCGCGGTTCGAAGCCAGCCCGGGCAGGAAAGTCCGTGAGACTCTTATCTTCAATAAACCATTAGA